GCACACACACACACACACACACACGCGCACACACACACCTCTTGATAAGTGGGCAACGCATTGCCTTATCAATGGTATCGGGCGCCGAAATCAAATTGATTTATTAACGATTTCCCAGTGTGCTAAAAATACAAACATAAATACTTTGTGCATATAGTGAAAATTTCTTATACAGTTTTCATTCGGAAGTAAAAACTTCCTGATATTCCGAATTCATCTGAAATGCGAAATGGGAGAATAGTCTTAAGCAGGGGCTTTATCATGAATAGATCATGATCAAAATGATGTATAACAATTTTTGATTTTAATTTAATATTTAAGCAATTGAAATCGAATGAAAAGTGAAACTGATCCACGAATTTTCCACGAAAAAATGTTGTTTTCATTGTGAATTCGTTGTCTTAAAGAAATCACTGAATTTTTAATAATCAAAAATTCTTTTAATTCTTTAATTTTCTGATTTTTGTCACAAAAGTTGCTTGCAAATAAAAACTCGTTTTGCCGCCGCGTGTTTCCATTTAGCGAGTACACACTGTACATGTTAAATATTCTGTTGAGGACCACCCATTGCGATTATGAAGATGCCACGGCAAGGACTCAAGGACAGCTCAGCTGCAATCTTTTTGCGTGTGTTTGCACTTAAAATTCAAGTGTCTGTCGCTTCTTCCTTCCGCCTAGGCAATTTTCCAGGAAAAGCAGTTCGTTTTTCATTGTGAATTCGTTGCGGTCAGCGAGTAGGAGGGCGCGGGCGGGTCGAGGACAATTCATCGAGCACTCGAGCTGAACAATTATTGCGAGGACCACCAGCAGTTCGGGTTCGGCTATTCATTGTTGCAACAGGTAAGGTTGGTTTAAGGTTTGGACTAGGGATAAGTTAGGCACAGGTAGCTGGAGCTTAAGTCTTACAGTTATTTTGACTGGGCACAAAGATATATCCCACTTTTCTTTCCACTCTACTTTAACAGAGGTCCATTCATGATAAGATGCGCGAGAGAGAGGGAGAGAGAGAGAGAGAGAGAGAGAGAGAGAGCGAGAGCGAGAGAGAAGCGACAGCAACTTCCTTTTTTGGACATTACGCAATCCGCGTTTTTTTTTCTGCACCCGAAAAACTGTTACGTCCAACCACGCAACGTCCACACCCTACCCTAGCCTGGCCCCCTCGCGCGATCTATAGTTTTGTTGTTGTTGTTGTTGCTTTTTTCCAGTGTTGCAAGTAGAAAGAAAATTACCTAATTGTGTTGCATCGACAACGAGCAACAGCAACGACTTTTTTCCACAACATTACTCTACTCCACTTCTTGCTTGGCCACACAGCGTACCCCCCGCCCCTTGCCCTACCCGCTTCAGCTGCGGCTCCTTCGTATGTGTGCCACATGCTCCAAAGGAAAATTAAAAATGTGCCACAGACACAAGAAAACGACGGGCATATATGTGTTGTTGTTTTTTTTTTAAGTTAGTTAGTTAGTTGTGCTCTTTTATTGTTGTTGTTGTTTGCAGTTGCTTTGCCCGCTGATTCGTTTGTTTCTTTCTCTTTGGCGTCGTTAGATAATAGGCAACAACAAGAGGAGGCACCGTTAAAGCTGAACCCCAAAAGCCATTTTGTTGTTGTTGTTGTTGTTGTTGTTGCTGTTGCTGCTGCTGCAGTTGTTGTGTCGGCGGCATAAGTCAAGCAAGACTTCCTATATTTTGAAACACGTTACGTTCGTAACATAATTCACACAACAGGTTACTTGGTTCGCCTCCTCGCCGGCCATGGCAACAGCACATCGTCTCTCGCTCTCGCTCACGCTCTCTCGCTCACTTGCTCTCTCTTTCTCTCAGCAGCTTAGGCGGAGTTCGAGTTCGAATTCGAGATCGAGTGCTGGGAAATGTGTGCGGTTTTTGTGAGGCTGGGAAATTATCTGTGCATCGGGAAATTATTGATGCCATTGTATAACGCATTTCCCCATTGCAAGATCATTGTTAAAAATAATTAAACTCGGTTCTTAATATACAACAACAAGTGTTTGGTCAAATAAATGCAGGTCATCAACTTTTATATACCCTATAAAATCATAAATTCATCAAAACAACAATTCGATTTGAATCGATTCGAAATTCAATTTCAGATGGTATTAAAAAATGTTAAAAGACAAAACTTCAGTTAATTTTTTGTACATATCTGTCATACGCAAAGCGTATTTCGTTTTCGGCAACTATAAAAATGAAACCTGTGGATTTATTGATCTATAAGTGCCTCAGTGGGAGTATCAAATATTTAAAACAAGTTTATTTGCGTTTGGCACACAAGCGAGAGAACCCATTTTATTAGCTCTAACGCTCTAACTATCTCCCTCTATTTTAACAGTTATATAACTTTGTGCAATTTTTATCATACCCTTATTACCCATTTTATGTTTGGCATATAAAAAAGGCAATATAAGCTCCGGTGAGGGAAGCTTAGTGCTGGTGTGTTTTTTTTTTAACTACACGAATTCGCACGATCTTTTAATAGTGTTGAAAGATACGCGGCGATAGCTTACACGCACACGCACACACACACACGCAGGCACTTTCTTGTGCGGCGAATTGGAGACAGCACAATGGAAGCTGTGAACATTTATGGCAAATTCAGGTTAGTGTGATTTTTGTGCACTATAAAATGGGTCGTTGTTGTTGCTGCCGCTGCACAAGTGGCTGTCATAATGCTAACAAGTGTATGTGTGTGTGCGCGTCGTGCAAAGTGTTCAAACAATACGTGTGTGTGTGTGTGTGTGTGTGAGTGCATATTGCAAAACATCAATATAGCACTCAGCAACAGCAACAGCAAAAACAACACACACAATGGCTACATCTGCGCTGGGCGATAACACGCAGCAAGAAAATCAAATAACAACAACTACAACTACAGCAAGCAAGCCAGCAAATACAATTGCTATGCGCGCTACTTCCGCATGCAAGTTTAAACAACTAAAAGTCATCGGCGTCAGCGGCAAAACGAAAAAAAAACAACAACAACAACAGCAGCAGCAGCAAAAGAAAAAAAAATTGCGACTGCGACTCATTCTCAGTGCAGTTAGCGTGTGCGTGTATGTGTGTGTGTGTGACTGTGACTCAAAGATCGTTGAGTAGCATAAAAAGAAGAAGCAAAGCGCTGAGACAGCAGCCAAGCCCCAACAGCAATGACAACAACAACAATAAATGCGCATTTTAAATTGAGTGAGCCTTAAGCCCTTCAGGCTCAGATCATATTTATTAAAGAGCAGAGCAAAAGAGAGCAAGCGTCACAATTGCTTCACTTTTCATTATATTACTGTTGTTGTTGCTGTTGCTGCTGTCGTTTGCATTGGCATTTGCTTCCTCTTTCTTTCGTTGGGTTGCTAGCCTTTGCCTTTACGCCGCCTCCTTCTACCTGCTGCGCTCAACACTTTTTATACCTGTTTCTGCTCTAGCAACCCAATACACATAAACAATTGTCTCTGTGTGTGTTTGGGTTTGTGTGTCTCCCCAATTGCCATGCTGCTGACCCGAAAGATCGTCGTCGTCGCTGCCGCTCTCTTTTGCTTTTGCTTCCGTACACTTAGTGCTTTTGCTCTTACGTTAAGGCGTCGCGCGTCTCTTACGTGTGCCACACACTCACCCGTTACGTCGCGTCGCTTTTGTGGAGCAATGCGGAAGTGAATTTAATTTATTGTATTTACGCTGGCTTTTTCTGCCCCACAGACAGAAGCAAACAGTCGGACGTATAAACAGTGAGAACCAGGAAAGTTAATGGCTCTACACAGCTAGAAATCCATAAAATTGCTGTTTCAGTTGGAGAGATGTCTGTTTTGTGCTTGTGTGTGTGAGTGTGTGTGCATGTGTCGACATATTTCTACGTTTTGTTTCGTTTTTCGCTAATTGGAGAGCCGAACATGTTAAATAAATAACACGCACACGCACACACATACACATATATATATTTATATACATATGCATACATACATACTTGTATACGCGCACACATAATCAAATTTATCGACGAAAATCTTAGCTCTCCACAAAGGAAGCAGCGAGGGAGGGGGAGAGGGGGGTGTATAGCAAGATCAGGTGCGCTGTCGCCGCCACCCAAACAGATTGAGCTTTTTTTTTTATGTTATGAGTGTGTGTGTGTGTTTGCAGCTATACCAGAAGCAGGAACTGTTCGCTTATTCGTTTCAGCAGCAGCAGCAGCGACGTCGACGTCGGCAGCGACAGCAGGCGCACAAATAAACAGAATTCTGCTGCAGCAGCAGCAGAGCGGGCCGCGCGATAAGATTTCGCTGACGTACGCTTCAGAAGAGACACAGTAAAAATGCGGCAACAGGCGGCGAGAACAACAACAACACCAACGACAACAACAACAAATAAGAACCGTAACATCAACCCAATTGGAGCTTAACGCTCCGCTTTTGTTTCACTTCCATAGAAAAAAGTGCATGCAACAAGAGACCCGTCGAACCCAAAGCAAACCCCCAAGAAAAATAGCCCGAAACGAGCCCGAAAACCCAATCGAGCGATTGCCTTCAATATGGATCAACATATTTATACAGTGGTAACTCACGAATGAAGAAAAAACAAACTATTTGAATTGAAAATTTTAACAAGAAATATTAACTGTGAAATAAGTAATGCATTTTGGTATTTATTAGAACTATTTTCCTAAAAAATGCTAAATATTACAATTACAGTAATTTTTGAAAGACGTTCTCGCGAGTGACTACTGTAAAGGTTGTACAAAACAGTTATAGCGTAAACTTTATGGGAACTAAGCACAGCATTTCTAGGTTAGGTACATTTAGTACAATCAGTGCATTTGCTTTAATCTCAATTGATTAATGTCTGAGTGTCATTTGAGAGGTGTGAAATCATGAGTTCCGTATGGAAAAATAAATAAAGACAAAGATGCGCTTTTTTCAATAGTTTAGAATAAGCTATTTCATGTTTATTTTTAGGCGACAGATTCTGCTTTTTTATTAAGTTAGTAAAACAAATCCACAGTCTAGAAATAGACTGTATCTAAAGAAGATAATGCGCTCTAGTGTTGTAAAGGGCTCAAACAAAGTTGCATTTATCTTGGCTAGAAGGAATTGAAATTTGTTGACCTCAACAAAATAAGAGAAACCTGAGAAATCGTTGTTAATTATTTGTGTACAGATTGTCGGAACATGACAGAAACAATAAAAACGCAGCGTATGTAGACAATTCAAAGAGATTACGTTAAAATTTATCATTTTTTTCGGGTGACAACTTTTGTATGGGCCATATCGGGACGGGGGGGAGCACAGAATTGTGTATCACATTAAGTGTGAGATGAAAGAAAACATATGGAAATGAGAGAAGGTCAGAAATACAAATAAAACGTGCTGGAGAAAAACAAAAAACAAGTGATTGTGTATAAAAGATGTACAGTGAAATCTCTTTTCCCGAAACAAACGAACATCGCATAGAAGAAAATGGAAAATGATTGTAAAATGACGACAAGAAATCTGGAAAAAACATGTAAGTCTTCAAACATCAGAATTCATAAATCAATTTCTGTTTTTCCTATTTTATATCATATTTCTTGATATATCTTTTTTCCTTGCTTACCTGTTTGCTTTTGCTCCACTGTGCCGTGACGTAGTTCGCTGCTGTTGTTGTTGTTATTGTAATGCCTGTTGTCTGTTTGCCGTTCTCTTAAGCTTAAAGCTCTCAGCGACAGCGCGGAACGCGGAAGCGGATATGTTGTCCAGATGCAGAAAACGCGCGTTACACTTGTTGTTAATGTTAATGTGTTGTTGCTTCTGCTTGCAGTTCTTCTTCTTCTTCTTTGACGACGCTCGCCTTAACTACAACTGCTGCACTACTACGTAACGTTACGTTAGCCGAACGTCACGCGACGTAATGCATGCACTTTGCTGCTGCTGCTGCGACGACTGCCGATTTCCTGGTTCTGCTGAGACGCGTCGTCGTTCGCTGCTACTGCGACGCGACGTCAAGTGGCCATTGTGAAGTGACTTGGTAGCTGCGTTACGTTAATCCTGTGTTGACCGTTGCTTTTGTCGTTGCGCTGCGCTGCGTTGCGCTTGCTTTAAAAGTGTTTTGTGTATGTTTTCTTATTTGCCATTGCAAGCGAATGTCAGCGCCAAAAGGGAATGGCGCACAGAAATGAACAAAACACAAAAACAAATCGAGCGCAAGCTGGAGACGTTATAGAGGAAGAGCAGGCCGCAGCCACAAAGAGCACAAAGTACTTCCGTCTCTTCCTGCCTCACACACACACACGCACGCACACGCACACAAACACACAGTCGTTGCGCGTTGCACTTGTGCAGGTCCCTGCTGTTGTTGTTGTTGTTGGTCTTGTTTCTTTGCTTTGGCCCTTTTTCACCCACGTTTCACATGCGCTGCGTACAAGTAGAAAGCACACAACAATACAAAAAAACTGCTTCCTTTTTACTTTTGCTTGCACACTACTTGTTGTTGTTGTTTCTTTTTTGTTGCGCTCTGTTCGCCTAATTTTTGTTTATTTCGTTTTTGTATATTTTGATTTGAGAACAGCCACAAAAGGAAAACTTGGCATACACAGTTATTTATCTATTCTTTGCGTTGTTACTCGTTCTCGACGACGTCGGCGTCGGCGGCTTTTCTTCCACTTTTCGTTGGATTTTTGTTATGTTTTGATTTGTCAAGCGATAAATTCAACTTAATAATTATTATTGCTGTTGTTGTTGTTGCTGCACTTGTTTATTTTTATTTAATTTATACTTTTTTTGCTGCTGTTATTGAATTGAATTCAATTAATTTTTAGAATATTTTTGCACAATTACAATTCGGTATTATAATTATTGTACAACAAATTTTTTGTTTTTTTGTATTCTTGTTCCGCAGCAACACGTCCGCTCACCACGAAAGTTTCTTACGTTGTGACTCAAAACATGCGAGTAAGAAATAAACAAAGCAAACGACGAAAACTGAGACCGCGCGCGCACCAGAGAGCATGCGCATTTGAACGCATGGCGAGCGTGAGCGTGAGCGTGAGAATTTAAGAGAGCAGCATCGCCAAAGAGAAATGAAGAAATTTAAATTGATTTGATTTTGTTCTCAGTTTTCTTGTTCTTGTTTACAATATTTGTCTTCCGAATATTTGCACGTTGTTTATTTCCTTTAATATGCATGTATGTCTAGGTACAGATATTTTATACGAACATTGAGGTTATACTAATTAAAAAACAAAATATTTACGTCATATATTCAGCTGGTCAATATACAGGTGATCGTGCAATCAGAGCAATTAATATGCATAATTATAAGCTAATTGTTAATGCATTTCCATTCAGTGGGTTTCTGGCTGTGTGTTTAGTAATCCAATCAAGTCGAAAATGTTTTAATTATTTATATCCACATATACATACATATGTATATATTTGTTTATACTTGTGGGATTTTGGCGTGGGCGTCGATTGACTTGTTAATCATCTGCGATAAAAGCGAATACAATCGTTTATCGATTAGCTAATAGAAGGTGGGCTGCCCCTTGAAACCGGTCGACCCAAACTTCAATTAACCAACACTGTTCAGCTGCAAAGCGACATTTCCGTTAAACAAAAAAAAAAAAAGCAACTCTTATTTGCTTACATAAATTAGCAGGCCCAGACTTAAGAAGAGAGCCGGCGAGCAAGAGCGAGAGAGAGAGAGGGCGACAGGTTGCCATAAAAAGTAGCTAAAGATGCGCTCAGTTGCGTTGCGATGCATCCGCTTGACTTTTGCGCTGGGGATTTTTCTTTTTTCCTTACTTTGTTTTGTTTTTGTTTTTTTTTTTTCATTTTAAAAGTTCGTTAACCAGTTTCCCTAAACATCGTTGACATTTGAAGTCAAATGCCCATAAACGGCGGCGATCGCTCAGCCCCCCCCCCCCCCCCCCTCGCTCGTTCACCCTCTCTCTCTCTCTCTCTCTCGCACTGGCCCAAATTAGTAGATGTGTTTGTTGTTGTTGTTGTTGGTTCTGGTGCGTTGGCATAAGCAAAGAGCGAGACAGCTGAGCGCGCGCGCGCGACAGAGAGAGAGAGGCAGCAGGATTGTGGCCGCGGTTCAGAGTTCAAATAGTCGTCCAATTGAGCCAATCAACATATTTTCTGCGATCAGCAACAATTCTTGTTATATTTTTTTCGCCATTCGCAATGGGCGCGTAGGCGTGCCGGTTGCAGGTCGTAGGTGGCAGTTGACGCGGCATCAACTTACTTAATTTTGTTGTATGCGTGTGTGTGTGTGTGTGTGTGCGTATCGGTGTGTGCAACCTGCCGCCGTCAATCTGGCAAGTTTCGTCTGTGGCACGGCCCGTCGCAAGTTCGATGCCCAAGTGCAGATAATACATTTAAATAGAATGCCACATACAATGTCCAGAGTTCGCTCTTGCCACACATAGGACTCACACACACACACACACACACACACACACACACACACACACACACACACACACGCACATACATATAAGCAGCCCAGACACAAACCGTTTTGATGCGCACCCTGCGAATCCCCTGTCCTAAATATTGAGAGACACACGAAGAGGGAGAGAGAGAGAGAGAGAGAGAGAGCGCGCGAGGGAGATAGAAAGAGACGTCGGCTCTATAAATAGTATTGCTTGGGCCCGGCGATCTGTCCCGATGCGGAAGTCTTCCAGACGCTTCACTTTTTGGTCATTTGCCAATCGCACAAATTATTAGCACTAAAATGCGCACAGCAGGCGGGGGAGGTGTACCCCAACTATTTATATATACATATATCTATATATACGTATTGTGTGTGATATTCCCAGTATGTCTGGAGCGCCAGTCAATTGGAATGCCATCGAAAATGTACTCTATATTATTTTTATAATTAAGTATAGTATATTGTTTAAGCCTATTTAACTGTTTTTTAAGACTTGAGCCGAAGATTTGAACTCGATTTTCAATGTTCAGTTAAGTGAGATCTAAGTTAATATGAAAACATTACCAACAGTCAATCAGTCGGTCAATCAGGCAGTCAATCATCTAGTACATCAATCAATCAGTAAGTCAATCAGTCAGTCAGTAAATGAGTGTGAAACTCAATCAATTAATCGGTCAGTCAGTCAGTCGCTGGGTTAGTCTATTAGCCAATCAGTCAATGATTCAGTTCGTCAGTCAGCTAATTAATAAATTATTGAGTCAGTCACTTGGTCACTCAGTCAGTTCTTCAATCAGTCAATCAATCATTTCGTCAATCACTTGTTTGCTCAATCAATCAACCATTCAGTCAGTCAGTCAATCAGTTAGTCGCTCAGTCAGTCAGTCAGCTAATTATTTAATCATTGAGTCAGTCACTTGCTCCCTTTAACTGTCAATCAGTTAGTTCGTCAATCAATCATTTCGTCAATCACTTGTTTGCTCAATCAATCAACCATTCAGTCAGTCAGTCAGTCAGTTAGTCGCTCATCAGTCAGTCACTTGGTCACTTTAACTGTCAATCAGTCAATCAATCATTTATTCTTGATTGCTCAATGAATCAACCATTCAGTCAGTCGGAAAATGATTTAAAAATTATCAGTCAATTAATTAGTCACTCACTTATTTGCCCATTTAATCAATCAGTCCATTAGCTTTTTTCAGTCAATCAATCAACCTATTCTGTCTGCCAGTTAGTCAATCAATCTACTATAGAGTCAGTTACTTAGTCAGTTAGTCAATCAGTTGGCAATCAAAATGAATCAGTCAATCAATTAGTCAATCAGACCTGTGTGTTAACCAGTCAGTCAATCAGCTAGGCTCTCAATCAGTCAATCAGCTATCGGCTATCAATCTGTCAGTCAGGACAAGCTCTTGACATAGATATTTCAAATATGTCGATAAATCCCGTAGTAGATTTTTCTCATCCTTATTCGAAATTGATATTCAATGAAAATTGTTGCCTAATTATCTCAGCTTGTTACACTAACCCCGAGCGCGGGGGGGAGGGGCGGTAAACATCCTTGGCCCGCCTACACAGAAGCTGATATGAATTTCAAGCAGAAAACGATGCCAATGGAAGTGAAACAAAAGGTCCTTTCGTTACACGTAAAAGTAATTAAATTGAATATTGTTTTGGAAAGGATATTAAGTGCAGATCCTGGTTACCCTAATTGTTACACATTCCCTCTCCGGCAACAATGACTAATTGTACGATTTTTGCCGCCATAAAGGATCCTTTTGACAGTTGCCAGGACCGAGATCTGCTGGGTGTGTGCGTGTGTGTGCAGGATATGAGCGCACAATGTGCAGCCAGACGAGCCGAAAGGAAAGAAGAAACCGTGGGAAACGAGCCCAGGAACCAGAACCCCAGCGCCTGAAGGGCGCACTCAAGCAAGACACAAAGAACAAAAGCCCAAAAAAGAAAGGAAAAAACTGAAACGTGGAAAAACCGATCAAAAATCAAAGACCTGTGCAACGATCGCCCACAAATCGATCTACGACGCACTCAGCACTCCGCTCCGGTCGGGTCCGGGGATTATGGCAACGGGCAATGCGAGTTTCGTGTTCTAATTTAGCGCACCGAAGCAGAACGCCAAGCAACAAACACAGTTCCAACTTTAGGGGTTGCAAATGTGCCGAGGATCGGGCTCGATCACCACAAGTGCCTGGCCCCGAGCAGGTTGCTAGCCGCAGCACACATTGTTAACTCCGGTGAAAGGTTTCAGATTTCATGCAACGAGTGCATTGTGCAACTGAGACCGAGGCGAGACGAGGCGAGGCGAGGCGGGGCGAGGCGATCGAAGTGCCAGATCGCTGCGGCGATCCTCGAGGCCAGGATAAGCAGAGTGTGCGTCCCCAGTCGCTGCTTTGGCTTCTCTTGCAACGTGTGGAATGTGAAATTTTATCAATTAAATATCGACTGACACACACACACACACACACACACGCACACACACACACGCGGAGTCTAGATGTTTATTGTAGATCAGCTTTGTATCTGTAGTTAAAGTCGTTGCCGCTCGAGGCTAAGGCGGAGTTGCAGCTAGATAACAGTGCTGCCCATTTTGCTGATAAAATCTGTCTAGCTCTAGCGGGAAAACGGCTATATACATTTGTTTAAAGAGAGAGCTCTAGCTCAAAAAGAGCTATTTATCCATTTTTGAAGCAAGCTTTGTTTGCTTCTTCTTCAAATTCACTTAAAAATTTTTCAAATATGTTTTGTGTTAATTAAAACGCATAATTTCTGATCGCTTTTTGTTGTTATATTCAAATATATGGAAATATAGAAATCAAGTTTCTATAGTTTAATATATATAAAAAAGTTTTTGCTTTTCTTTGAAATATAATGAAAATTTATATTTTTTTTATCTATTTAAATTCCAATACCATTTTTAATATACAATTGCCCATTGTACTGAAAATACTGCAAACTTTACGCATTTTCATATGCAAGATGTGGGCTAAATTTCTTTAAACCATTGCAAAAACAATGTAAATGGT